ATATTATCGAGCTACTTGAGTATATCAATACCTTGTGCCAGCTTGGGATTTCATATCATTTTGAGAGTGAGATAAAAAATGTGCTTACTCTCATAGCTTCATCAATTGAAAACTTAAGCAATATATTAAAAAATAGTCTTCATGGCTCAGCCTTACTCTTTAGGCTTCTCAGAGAATATGGCATTAAGGCCCTAAATACAAGGCAAGTATATCCTTCGATAAAATTGCATATAAATATTACTTTTAGAAGTTGAATTTTATCTTCTTCGGTTAAAGGTACATTAGTTTTAATGATGAAAAATTCTTTTTCAAGTCACTTTAATAAAGCAACAATATTAATATTGTGCATTTTATTTTCTGTTATTGTTATAATCATTAACATATGAACTTATGTGCAACTAATAGTTATTCGATGTTGTAGCGAAGATTTTCTGGTTAGGAGTTTCAAAAATGAGAATGGGAGCTTCAAAGTTCATATTGTGAATGATGTAAAGGGAATGCTAAGTTTGTATGAGGCTTCATATCTTAGTGTTGAAGGCGAGGATGATCTTGATGAGGCAATGGAATTCACAATTAAACATTTAAGTAATTATCTTAAGGAACCTTTGCTTATTCATCCCTCACTAGTGAAACAAATAAGTCATGCCATAGAGCTTCCTTTGCATTGGAGATCGCCAAGGCTGCACACCAGGTGGTTCATTGATGCTTATGAGAGGCAAGAGAATATGAATCCTAGCTTGCTTGAGTTTGCTAAACTAGATTTCAACATGGTGCAAAGCATCTGCAAGAAGGAAGTTAAGGAGATGTCTAGGTATGAAATTTGAAGAAGTCATTCATACTTTATATATATATATATATATATAACCTTTCTAATGGAACTTTTTATGCATGTTAGTTGGAGGAGGAGTATTGGTCTTGCTAGCGATGAGTTTAGTTTTGCAAGAGATAGATTGATGGAGAACTATTTTTGGATTATGGGATGTACTTTTGAGCCACATTTTTGGAGATGTAGGAAGGAGATTACCAAATTTGCTTCTTTAATTTCAACAATTGATGATATTTATGATATCTATGGTTCAGTAGAAGAACTTGTACTCTTTACAAATGCCGTTGATGAGTAAGGAATCTATACATTAGAATAATTTATACAGCCCTTTCTTTTTTAATTGTAAAAAATACAAAATTTTAGTACAATAAATAAATATTTTTTTTGGTAAAAGGAGCTTATGTGAAAAGGCATCACATATTATATTTTCTATTTCAATCACATTTTATCAATTATAATGAATCCTTATATATAGTACAAATGCCATCAATAATAATATAAGTTAATTTTATTTAATGATTCATAGCTTGTATATCTCAGATGGAAAATCATAGAGATCCAGTCACTTCCAAATTGTATGAAGACAACTTTGCTGGCACTTATCAATACAATGAATGATATAGCGTGTGCATTTTTAAAAGAAAAAGGATTAGACATTCTTCCACAACTAAAACGAGCGGTAAGCAGTCCTTGCATCACATGCTATTTTACAAATATTTGTAGATTATTTGTAATTCAATATTCTCTATACTTATTGATGTAGTGGGGAGATCAATGCAAAGCATATTTAGTTGAGGCAATATGGTATAATACAAGATACACTCCCACCCTAAACGAGTACATGGATAATGCATGGCTTTCAGCTGCTGTTCCTTTGGTGCTAACTGCTGCATATTTATTAAGTGAAGACTTAACCAAACAAGCTCTAAATAGTCTTCAGTTCTACTTTGATGTTACTCGTTACTCATCTATGGTTGCTCGTTTATACGATGACTTGGAAACATCTACGGTATGTCAAAATATGTTACTCATCTATATATTCATAACATGCATCATTAGCAAACATATAATCATTATATCATTTTAGTTTTGCTCTTTTTGATATAGGATGAGCTTCAAAGGGGTGACGTACCAAAATCAATTCAATGTTATATGAATGAGACAAATGTTTTAGAATCTGTTGCACGGGACCATATAAGACAATTAATCAAAAAATATTGGAAATTATTGAATGGTGAATACTTTTCTAATTTCAACTTGGAGGAGTCTTTCAAACGATATGCACTTAACTTACCTCGAATGGCACAATGCATATATCAATATGGAGATGGGTATGGAAAGCCTGATCGTGAAACTAAGGATAGAATCATCTCTTCACTAATTAAGCCAATTCCACTATGAATTAGGTGTTCTACTATGCTTTCCTGCATTTCGTATTTGATATGAATTGTTGAAGCTTCCTGATGTTATTTATCACAAACATTCATGTGATGATATGTTGTTGTTTATTTTATTTCATATATTGGCTTGCTCATTGGAAAAAAAATATAGCTCTAGAGTTAAACAAGTTGAAGACAATTACGGTTGTTTGAACATGTTAGAATATGTTTGTTGTTCTCCACATGGCAATGCAATGCTATTAAAATTGTAAGAAAAGAATCCCCTCTAATTTTCTCAACTAATTACTTACAATTTCTTTTTTTTGCATTTGGAAATAACAAATTTTTTTTTCGTCCAAAAAAGGGGTTACAATGCAAAGTCCTGAAAGGGATCACATATTCACAAAATGCTCAAAGAGTTGCAATTAAAAAGAAGATAAAAACCTAATGAGTTAAAGATCCCATACTAATTACAAGAAATAAAGTGAAAATGTAGGCTAAACCCTATAACACAAACATTCCATTAGTAGCATAAGCAAACCAAAAGCTAGAGAAATCAGGAAGGCTAAAGGCACTTCCTCTTGAGAAGACCCCCATGATCACCAGCCGATGAACATATACAATACCACAAGGAAATCTAGAAGTTAAATAAGTAGGTAGAGATATATATAATAAAGGCAATAGCAACCACCCAACCACCAAAAGAAGAAGATGCATAAATGAAAATGGCATTAACATCCATAAGAGGCACCAACCCACTAGAAAAAATAACACAAAAGGACAACAATATATGTTACAATCAACATAATGTAGGAAAGAGAAATTGACATATCAAGGGAAAAGACACAGAAAAGAAGCTTAGGTACAATTAAATCCATGCAAAGGGATTGTAGAGCATTGAGCGCATTGTTCAACTTACCATTTGGCCTTACAAAGCCTAAGCCAAACATGAGATTGACCTTTCTTAAAAAAATACTAAGGGGTAAATATCCTTGTAATATTTAAGATTCATGAAATTGACCCATAAAGGGTTGTTAGTGTGAAACTTCCACCAAAGTTTAGTAAATAAATATTTAACCATATACATTGTGGATTTGCATCCCACACCACCCTCACCATATGTGCAAATACAAGAATTCCAGGCCCTCCAACGAATTTTTTTTTTATTATCTTGAGCAGAACCCCCAAAAGAATCCATTAATAATTCTATTCAATCTATTACAAACATCCAAAAAGAAGTTAATAGTTTAAAAAAGATAAATAGAAATAGAATAAATAACACTTTTAATTAACACAGGCCTGCAACCCATAATTATTCCTATACTTTATTCCATGCAAGAATCATTCCAAAAATACAAATCTGTTCCTTATTTCCTTCTCAAATGATGGGATAAAGGCTCACTTGTCTGCCTCTAAAAAGATTACATATTTTAAAAATGATGATTTTGTTTTTACTAAGGCTTTCTTTGGGACGGATTTCATTTTTCTTATTAAAGCAACTTTTTTGCACTAAAAAGCTGCTTTAAGAAGCAGTAAGAAAGCTGCCCAAAACGAAATCTAAGGCTTCATTTGGGATAACTTTTTTACTCTTTTTAAAACAGTTTTCTAATATAAAAATTTTATGAAAGCAACAAAAAAGAAGTTGCGAAGCCTAAATTAGATCATTAATTTTGATGAGCTTTATGGGATAAGGTTATAGTGGTTTGATCGCCAATTTTTATGGGTTGTTCCTAATTCTTTTCATGTTTGATTTTTAACTGAATCAAAGCTATTTAAACATCAGCTCATGATTGGTATCCTCTTAGCATCATATAAAAATCTCTCAAACATAATATCGTGATATTTTTAACGTGGAAAATTGAAAAAAAGGTCTTGGTTTAATTTAAATAATTATATTAGTGTGAGTCACATAAATATAATTAACCCTAAACCCTATGCTTGTTAAGAGGGGTATTTGGATAAATTTGACTAGAATCCAAAGCACTCCATTGTATAGTTCATAATAATCATTCTTCGGATCATGAAATGTTGACTCAACAATATAGCTGCTTTAATGATATTGGAATTGAATGATCTTTGGCTCGTTGGATTTGTCTAGTCAAGCTGCTCAATTTGACTATAAGCATGTCAAATTTGGAGAACATTTGGTCATTCAATTAATATATATATATAGAGTTTTTCAATATGCTTCTAGTGATTGATTTGATCTCATTTAGGCTCGAATTAGAGAACTTCTGGCATCATTGGGTTCAACTTCTCTGGACGTTCAGTTCTTCAAGTTGTTGAAATTGAAGTTCATATGATCTTGAATTTAACTCCAAAAAGTTTCAATTTAAATTATACTTCAATATTCGTGCCCATTTTTCAAATTTTTTTTATGGATATGTTAATTACGTAGTCAAATCTTATCCTTAATTAGAACAAGTATAATTTATGTTGATTACGTTTGGAGAGAAAATTATCAAAAATTAAAAAAAAAAAAAAATTAATAAGCGGCCGGCCGATTAGATAAAATTTGAAGCTCTGGTTATGTAAATTAATATTATAACGAACATTTCCATAAGAAATTCTTATATTAATGAGTCCAGTTTATAGACCTTAACATAAGAAAAATCAGGACTGATAAGCACTTCTACATAAACATTTCTGTAAGAAATTTGTTACAATAATAATGACGTGGCAGCAGATTTTGAACAAGTCATTATTACTTCTTCTATTTTAGCCTTGGAAATAGCTGCTACAGAAAGCTCAGATAATAAACTCCTTCTTCTTCCTTTCAAGCTTTCTCTGCAACCATGGAAGGAGACCTTCAATCCTCCCCTCCTTCACGAAGAAGTGCAAATTACCAGCCAACCTTATGGGATGACAGCTATATTCAATCGCTACCTGATAGCTCTCTGGTAATGATTATTGCAATTTATTGGTTAAAACATTTTTTTCTTAAAGTTCTTTCTACATAGTACTTAATTATATAGATATTAAGATTTATGTGAAAGAGAAGGACTCCGTCTACTTCAAAGAAGTGTTTATGAAGAAGGAATACTCTATATCCTTTCCTCAGATCATGGATGCAATTTGTCAGATGGTTTGATTGTAAATAACTGAAGTATATTGACACACAACACACAATTTTCAGATGCTTTAGTTGTCATTTAAAAGATAGATAAGGGTCCGTTTGAGACAGCTTTCTAGCTGCTTTATTTTTCAGGAAGCAACTATAATTTTATTTGGCCTTTACTTAATGCTTTTAAAAATATTTTGTGATGGAAAGCTGCTTTATGCAGCCTAATAGCGAATTCTCTACAACAATTTCATAACTAACTTTATAAAACTCTACTGTCGTCCCAAACAAACTCTAAGTTGATTGAATTATTTCACCTTGATCATCCTCATTGTTATGACATACATTAGTTAAAAAAAAAAAAAAAAAAAAAAAAAAAAAAAAAAAAAAAAAAAAAAAGGTAGTGGCTAGAAATAATAAGAGCAAAAGATGAGGGATGTCTCATAAATAAAGCCTTCTATATAAAATTTATTTCTTTGTTGTTTTTTAAGTTTATTAAGAAATTTACATTCATATTTGAAGATAATAAATACATTACTTATAATATATTTTTTTAAGAATAGGATATTGTTCTTTTATATTCATCTTTCAAACGGATAGATTCAACAATATTAAGTTGTGCCACTGGTCTCTCACTCTAATAAATTGTGAAGATTCTCCATCATGTTGGCATCATTAGTAAAAAATTGCCTCTACTCCTCTATAACCTTATGCTCATCTCAAATCCATTCATATATAGGACCTTTCTTTATCTTACTTTATATCACCTTCTAGTTCAAGGGTTGGTTTACTGGATACTGCATCTATGTTTATAAGTTCCTTAATGCTTCTTACTTTTCTCTATATTATTGTTGTTCGCATTTTTCATTATTTGTGAGGTGCCCTTCACCACAACTTTAATTATCTGGCTACATCTCCACTTATACGTATTGCATACTATGATGTTTATTTGATTGGCGATCCTTCCTAATACAAATCAACATCATGATTTGTTTTTTTATTAGGCGCCGCATTAATTCTTTTATGCAAGTTTTACTTGTTTTCTTACATATGATCAAAATATTACCCTTGTAGTCACATTAAGTAGTTACTTTGGCTTTGATGACTAGTTAATAATATGTATGTTTCTCATTATGTTCCATCTATTGTTCGTTGTGATAATCAAAGCATTATTGATACTTGTTCTAATTATGTTTACACGAATGAACTAAGCACAATAAGATTAAGTATAGCTTCATTTATCATGAATGTGCTAACTCTATTTTTTTAGTTTATATATATATATATATATATATATATATATATAGATGCATTAATCTTAAGAAAATGTGAAGATAAACATGATTTTAAGAGCCTAAATATTACATTTATGCACTTGTACATACTATATACTAACTTAGTTAGGATTTCTATTCTTCTCAAAAGAGTTTGTTAACAATAAATGATGATCAATATTTATATATCACAGGACGCAGCACAAGTTAATTTATGGGAGAAGTTGAATGAGGAGGTGAGACATTTGATTGATCATACTAAACAAAAGGATATTATAGAGCTACTTGAGTATGTCAATACCTTGTGCCAGCTTGGGATTTCATATCATTTTGAGAGTGAGATAAAAAATGTGCTTACTTTTATAGCTTCATCAATGGAAAGCTTAAGCAATATATTAAAAAATAGTCTTCATGGCTCAGCCTTACTCTTTAGACTTCTCAGAGAATATGGCATTAAGGCCCTAAATACAAGGCAAGTATATCCGTTGATCAAATTACATGTAAATATTACTTTAAAAGGTTGAACTTTATCTTCTTCAGTTAAAGGTATATTAGTTTTAATGATGAAACATTCTTTTTATGGCACTTTAATAAAACAACAATATTAATATCGTGCATTTTATTTTCTATAATTGTTAAAATCATTAACATTTGAACATATGTGCAACTAATATTTATTCAATGTTGTAGAGAAGATTTCCTGGTTAGGAGCTTCAAAAATGAGAATGGGAGCTTCAAAGTTCATATTGTGAATGATGTAAAGGGAATGCTAAGTCTGTACGAGGCTTCTTATCTTAGTGTTGAAGGCGAGGATGATCTAGATGAAGCAATGGAATTCACAACTAAACATTTAAGTAATTATTTGAAGGAACCATTGCTTATTCATCCCTCATTAGTGGAACAAATAAGTCATGCCTTAGAGCTCCCTTTGCATTGGAGAATGCCCAGGTTGCACACCAGGTGGTTTATTGATGCTTATGAGAGGCAAGAGAACATGAATCATAGCTTGCTTGAGTTTGCTAAACTAGATTTCAACATGGTGCAAAGCATCTGCAAGAAGGAAGTTAAGGAGATGTCTAGGTATGTAATTCAAAAAGTCATTCATGCTTTATATATATATATATATATATAACTTTCTAATGGAAATTTTTATGCATGTTAGTTGGTGGAGGAGTATTGGTCTTGCTGGTGATGAGTTTAGTTTTGCAAGAGATAGATTGATGGAGAACTATTTTTGGACAATGGGATGTACTTTTGAGCCACATTTTTGGAGATGTAGGAAGGAGATTACCAAGTTAGCTTCTTTAATTACAACAATTGATGATATTTATGATATCTATGGTTCAGTAGAAGAACTTATGCTCTTTACAAATGCCGTTAATGAGTAAGGAATCTATACTTTAGAAGAGTTTATAGAGCACTTTACATTTTTTTTGTAAAAAATATAAAATTTCAGTACAATAAATAAATATATTTTGGAAAGAGAGGTTATGTGAAAGGACATCACATATTCTATTCTTTATATCAATCCCATTTTATCAATTATAATGAGTTCTTATGTTAGAAATGTCATCAATAATAACATAAGTTAATTTTATTTAATGATTTATAACTTGTATATCTCAGATGGAAAATCACTGAGATCCAATCACTTCCAAATTGTATGAGAAAAGCATTGCTGGCAATTATCAATACTATGAATGATACTGCATGTGCATTTTCAAAAGAAAAAGGATTAGACATTCTTCCACAACTAAAACAAGCAGTAAGCAGTCCTTACATCACATGCTATTTTTCAAATATTTGTAGATTATTTACAATGCAATATTCTCTATACTTATTGATGTAGTGGGGAGATCAATGCAAAGCATATTTAGTGGAGGCAATATGGTATAATACAAGATACATTCCCACCCTAAACGAGTACATGGAAAATGCATGGCTTTCAGTTGCTATTTCTTTGGTGATAAATGCTGCATATTTACTAAGTGAAGACTTAACCAAAGAAGCTCTAAATAGTCTTGAGTTCTACTTTGATGTTACTCGTTACTCATCTATGGTCACTCGTCTATACGATGACTTGGGAACATCTACGGTATGTCAAAATATGACTCATCTATATATATTCACAACATGGATCATTACCAGAGATATAATCAATAAGATAAATTATTTTAGTTTTTGGCATTTTGATATAGGATGAGCTTCAAAGGGGCGACGTACCAAAATCAATTCAATGTTACATGAATGAAACAAATGTTTCTGAATTTGTTGCACGGGACCATATAAGACAATTGATCAAAAAATATTGGAGATTATTTAATGGTGAATATTTTTCTAATTTCAACTTGGAGGAGTCTTTCAAACGATATGCGCTAAACTTACCTCGAATGGCACAATGCATATATCAATATGGAGATGGGTATGGAAAGCCTGATCGTGAAACTAGGGATAAAATCATCTCTTCACTAATTAAGCCCATCCCACTATGAATTAGGCCAATTTTCTACTATGCTTTCCTGAATTTTGTATTTGATATGAATTGTTGAAGCTTCCTGATGTTATTTATCACAAACATTCATGTGATGGTATGTTGTTGTTTCTTTTATTTCCAAATTGGCTTGCTCATTGGGAAAAAAAATTATTAGCTCTAGAGTTAAGCAAGTTGAAGACAATTAAGGATGTTTGAACAAGTTACAATATGTTTGTTGTTCTCCACATGGCAATGCAATGCTATTAAAATTGTGAAAAAAAAAATAATTTTCTCTAATTTTCTCAACTAATTACTTATGGTTTCTTTTTTTGTTTTTGGAAACAATTAATTTATTTCATCCGAAAAAGGGGTTACAATGCAAAGTCCTGAAGGGGATCAAATACTCATAAAATGCTAAAAGAGTTGCAATAAAAAAAGAAAAAAAAAATCTAACAAGTTAAAGATCCCATGCTAATTACAAGAAGTAAAATTACCCATGAAAACTAAAATTTTATCAAAATTTTGATAAAAAATAACTTATATCCCTTTTTAGAAGTTTAATGCTTATTATTATTATTATTTATGGCTTTATTAATGTATCAATAATATTAATTACAAGAAGTAAAATTACCCATGAAAACTAAAATTTTATAAAAATTTTGATAAAAAATAACTTATATCCCTTTTTAGAAGTTTAATGCTTATTATTATTATTATTTATGGCTTCATTAATATATCAATAATATTTAATACTTTAATAATTATTATATGACATATAAATCATAATGATTGAAAAAGAAAGGATGTGCAATTATTGAAGTTGAAGATGTAATAATAGTAATTATAGAGCTCTTGTGGTCACTTAATATAAATAGAAGAATTTAAACCTAATGCAGTTGCCCACCCTGAAATCTTTAACTATTTTGATCACCCTTAATAAATACAGTTGTTCAAATTCTAAGATTTTTTTTTCCTATTTTATACAAAAAGTTATGCAATTCACAATCTTATTTTGCCCACCCTCGAAAGAGAAGCTAGTTTCACCTCGAGTTCAACCATCCGTACGTAAGTTGAACAACTTCAAATCAACTCATTCCCATTGCGAGGTTTTGGTGAAGAGTAATGGTGAGTTCAAAGCAATTAATCATATTAAAATGAATATAAAAAGAATAAAATATTGCTTAATTATAACTAGGTTCTGTAATAAATATCTTGCCATTATCATTTTTGAAATTTGATGGATAAAATTTAGCTAAACATGTCATTCTTTAATCATAAATTTTTTAAAAAGAATCACATTGATTTTAACACACCACACAAAGATGATATCCAATATTTATCTTATGAAAGGGTAAAATAAGTCAACCTGATAAAAATTTGTTTTTATTATTTTTGGGCATTTACTCCAATCATGATAAAAAAGATCCTCTAATTCTTTCAATATAAAGATGATATTTCAAGAAAATCTTAGCGATAACAATGATACTTTCAATCAATTACAAGGTTTATACAGTTCATATATGGACTTGTACTCCTTGGGCAGTCTTAATCTTAACCTCAAAAAGGCAGTAACGGTTTAAAGAGAAACCATTATTTACCTTTGATTCGGGATACAATTGGCATTCTCCCCCTCCTAATCAAGAAAAAATTGATCATAGGGGGATTCGATTCAACCTCTTTCACACAGGTTAACGTCACTGAGCAGGGCTCTGACATACAACCTCGAATAGGTTATACATCATTAATGGATTCTCTCGACCTATTCCACATAAGTTAACATCATCGAGTAAAGACTTTTACATACAACCTCGGATAGGTCTTACTATTGGTGGAATTTTGAAAGCAGGTTTTGAAAAGTTTGGTTTTCTTTGGAAATTTTGAAATTAAAGTTAAATTCTAATTCTAAAATCAAATTATCCCGTAAGAAAATGTATATAACCTCGAAAGGTGGTAATAAAATTTCAGGGTGGGATTCAGATTTAGAATCATGAATCTTATATTGAATATTATGACCGGATGCTAAAGAGAACTCATATGGCCCGAAAGGGCCAAGATGAAGTTCAACTAAGGCTACAATAGTCAAGAAGGTTGATCGTTAAATTCATATCCAAAGCTCTATTAAAGAAAGATATATCTCCCCAAAGGGAGAAAATATTGATCGATGCTAATTCTTCTGATATGATGTTAATGATCGCTAATTAATTTTCCCAAAGAAATTCAATTAAATTTTAAAAATCAGGTGTGTGTGGTTCTAAATCTCCTGCGAGCGTAAGCCCTCATAGTTAATTACATCGTAGGGAGACAGAGTCTCAAAAGAAAACTCTCGATTAAAATAGTGGCAAAATTTTGTTAAAGATTTTATAGGAGTGATATCAAAAGAAGGTGAATTTTAGAATCTCAAAAGGGAATGGATCGAGGTTGAGAAGTCATTAACTGAATTAAGGAAAGAATAATAAGGGACACTTTGAGAGTCTAGAATCATTCCGAGCATCTCAACTTAATCTAAGTATTGGGCTTTATGTTTTTGATTGAAAGAGGATTTAATTAAAGTTGAACATTTTATTAGAAATTTGGAATTATATTCCCGGAGGCTGGGATCTTATAATCAAAGATCAGCCCCTGATCCTAAATCTAAATTTGGACACTGGACCACAGTCGTCCGAACCTAACTAATACAGTGCAGAACCTGGGCTTACTCCGGCGTAGATTGGAGAGCCAGTTAATGTTAAGAGAGTTGCTATTTGCATGTTTTACATTCTTGCAACTTGTATAGTTTTGATGATTCCAAATATTATTGTTTTAAGTTTGTTATCCCCTAATATTTTTTGGAAGATTTGTTTTTGCTCTTGTGTGGACTAACATTTCAGGAAAATCGAACTCCAGACTAATCAAGACTTCAATTCAAATTCAACATGAGATATTTTGTAAATTGAAGCTTGTACTTATCTTTGTATTGAGTTTGAGAGGGAGTGATTGTAATTGTGTAAATAAGCACACACACACTTAGGAAAAAAAATTATACTGATCGTATAGGACGAACTCAGTTCGTACGGGACCTGGATCACAGTCGTCCGTACCTGTGCAAGCATAATTATAATTGATTTTCTTTTTTTATTTAGCCCCTTTTTTAATTATCCTGCATGAGCGTGGCCATCTATAGAAAACTTAATTAACATCTAGATCATTCATATCCTAGGGGTAATCCAGTCGCCAAACACATCAATCATCCACAAAGTGTAGTAAAAAGTAAGCAGATGCAACAAGACAATTTCATCCACAACATGCAGTAAAATTACAAAAAATCTGGCACACAGTAGAATAATAAACACCGGCCTAAACTAGATCAAGAGTTTGTTGTCCTAGCAAACCATCTAAAGTGTGTGTAGAAGGTCGTGTGGCTGGGGTAGGTCCTAAGCAGGGTAGTTAGTTAAAGTTATCTAAAATTTTGAATTTGTTAAGGCTTAAGGGGAGGTTATGTTAGAATTTAAATATTAATATATTAAGAATTTATTTAAATATATTTTAAAGGTTAAATAATTACTACATTTATTTCATACCGAGGCCGTGAAGTTTATTTCACCTTCATTGGGGCTAAGCTAATAGCCTCGTAAGCCTAGGTTACGTAGTAGTAATCATGGTTTATTAAATTAATTTAGTTAGTTGAAATTAAAGGATAGATTAATATAAAAAAGAATTGGTTAAGCATTTTATTAATCAAACTAGAAAATTCTAGAATTTTAAAGAATTAATGGATTTTAGAAATTATCTAAATGTGTTAATTAAGGGGTTAAAAGTTGACTTTTAAAATTAAAGTGAATTCCAAAAGTTTAAGATTTTTAATAAATACTAGACCTTATTATGAGTTGTTAGACTATTAACACGCTTAATTTGAAGTTTTCTATGAAATGTTATGTTTTTTAGAAGTTTTAACCAAATTTTAACCCAGTGTTGACTAAATTGTTGCCTTTTTGACTTTGACCGGATTTTGGGGGTTTGATATTTTTAGAAAATTTTAAACTTCATTTTATAGAATTAATATTGATTTATAGTGAATTTGTGAATTTTTTAAGTCCTCAAAGGGGCTCAAATTTGATATGTTTAATTTTCTAACATGATGAGCTCCAAATTCAGTCAAATTTAAACCTATGGTTCAAAATGTCACTAGGTTTACTGTATTCAATTTTTACCCCTATTGGGTGTGTGTACAGCTCCCTAAGTTTTTTTAAATTTTTTAGACATTTTCCTAATTATTTTCCCTAGGTGTCTCTCCTATTCAGATTGGCATGAATCTTGGTGTGGCAAACCCTGGTACACATGCATTCACATCACAGAAATTTCAAAGTTTTGGGTCCAAAATGGACCCTTCACCTTAAAAATTTACATCACAGAAAATTACAGAGCATCTGACCCTAGAAAAATTAAAACATTTGCGTAAGTTACTCGATAACATTCTATCAAAATTTGGGATCAATTTGATCCCTGGTTTGCAAGAAAATTATAAGAAACTAAATTCAAACAAACTCAATTTTATCATAATCCAAAGCTCAAAACATTTTAAAATTAATTTTAATAAATACTAAATTAAATTATCTTTCGAACGAGCCCAAAAAGGTCTAATTTGGTGGAGCATTCAATTTTTTGTGAATTTTGGAAGATTTAGCATTTTGTTTTAATTTTTTAACCCACTTTTGGTCATATAAGCCACCGGCACCAATCATTGGCAATGATTGGAGCAAAAATGGTGGCTGCGAATGGTAGCGTGACACGTGGCCCGGTGGGACTCACCACTTAAATGAGTCAGCAGTCGATCGCGACCTCTAATCCGGCTGTGGAATGAGCCGACGGCCGTGATCACGCCACGTAGGCGCTTGCTGTCGGGATCGGCATGCGCTCAAATCCGGCTAAAGGTGGCACGCGGTCTGGTTGATCCTGCACCGTTTGATCCCGATGAAGAGAGGATCGGATGGCTGTGATTGTTCCGCAATTTTAGTTCAAAAATGAACTAAACCTTCAAATGGA